AAGTATTAATGATGGCAGGAGTAGAGAATAGAGGAGTATCATTTATATTTGTGGATACATAAATAATAAATGAATAAATGTTAGAAGATATGAATTCAATATTGAATTCAGGAGATGTCACAAATCTTTATTAAGACAAAGATATGGATGAAATTATTACATCATGTAAAGGAGAATGTTTAAAAAGAAACTTACAGCCTACTCCTAATAATATTTTTGCTTAGTATTTAGCAAGAGTAAAGAATAATATCCATTTGATATTGGCAATGTCTCCATTAAGTGATAAATTTTAAACACGTTTACGTATGTTCCCTTCTTTAGTAAATTGTTGTACAATAGATTGGTTTACTGAATGGCCAGAGGAAGCTTTGGTAGGTGTAGGAAGAGGTTAATTAACTGAATATGCAACTGAATTTGGTTTTAGTGAATAATTAGAGAAGATTGTTGAAATGTGTAAAATTATGCATAAATCTGTGGAATAAGTTTCAGTTTAATATCAGTAGCAATTACGTCGTTATAATTATGTTACTCCAACAAGTTTCTTAGAATTAATAACTATGTTTAAGACAGTTAATAATGAAAAGAAGAATGAACTTAAGTTTTAAATAAATCGTCTAAAAAGTGGATTGGATAAATTGATTGCTGCTAATGAAGCAGTGTCAGAAATGCAGATCTAATTAAAAGATATGTAACCTAAATTAGAGGAGGCTGCTATTGAAACAGAAAAAGTCATGGCTAGATTAGAAATTGATAAAAAAGAAGCGGATGAAACTTAGAAAGTAGTTTCTGTTGAAGAAGCAGAAGCTTAAATAGAAACTAAAAAAGCTAATGAAATAAAGAGAGAAGCAGAAGAATCAGTTGCTGAAGCTAATCGTATTTTAGAAACAACATTAATTGAAGTGTAAAAATTAAAAAAAGAACATTTAGTAGAAGTCAAAGCATTACCTAATCCTCCTAGAGCTGCAATTATTACTCTTGGAGGTTGTGTTATTTTACTTTAAGATTTCATTAAAGAATAAGGAGGTGAAATTTAAATGATGAAGGATGAAACAGGTATGAAAAAAGTTGAAGACTTTTTCAGCACAGCCAAAAAATATTTATTAAATGATACTAAAACACTTTTAGATTAATTATTAGATTACAAGAGAGATAATATTAATTAAGCTTATATTAGAAAATTAGAATAAAAAATTATTGGTGATCCAGATTTCAAACTAGAAAGAGCTAATACTTGTAGTTTAGCTATTAAATATATGTATAGTTGGTGCTAAGCTATGTATGATTACAATAAAATCTTTTTGTAAACTTAACCCTTAAGAGATAAATTAGCTTAAGCTCAAATGATTGTTGATTAGAAATAAGCTTTACTTAAAGTCAAAAAAGAGCAATTAGATGCAGTCAATGCTAAAATTAAAAGATTGTAGGAAGAATATGATGAAAAAGTTAAAACAAAAGAAGAATTATCCAAAAAGATTTAAGAATGTGAAATTAAATTAGTAAGAGCTTAAAAATTGACAAGTGGATTATCAGATGAAAAAACAAGATGGACAGCCGATATTGATAAACTCTAGTTATAGGAACCATTAATTCCTGGAAATTCATTATTATCAGCAGCTATGCTTGCTTATGCAGGACCATTCGTTTCAAGTTATAGATAAGGTTTAGAAAATAAATGGAGAAAGAATTTAATTGAATTATGTATAAAACATACAGATAATATCTCTATGGTTCAATTTTTGGGAGTGCCTGTTAAAATCTAATCATGGAATATTGCAGGATTACCTAAAGATGATACGTCTATTGAAAATGGTATCATCATTGATAAAAGCAGAAGATATCCTTTGATGATTGATCCTTAAAATTAGGCAAATAAGTTTATAAAAAATATGGGAAAGGAACATGCTGAGGGAATTGAAGTATTAAAAGTGAATGACCCTAATCTTATGAGAACACTTGAATTAGCTGTCTAATTTGGTAAATAAGTACTAATTGAAAATGTTGGAAAAGACTTAGATCCATCTTTTGATCCAATTCTTTTACAATAAATAGTTAAAAGTGGATCATCTCTTACAATTACATTGGGTGAGAAAACATTGTCATTTAATGATAAATTTAAATTCTTTCTAACCACAACTATACCAAATCCACACTATCCTCCTGAGACTTTTGTAAAGGTCACAATAATTAACTTTGCTATCACTCCAAGTGGATTAGAAGATCAGATGTTGGCTTTAATTGTGGCTTTAGAAAACCCTCAATTAGAAGCGAATAAAGTATAAATAGTTAGGAAAAATGCTGAAGATAAGAAATAGTTATTACTGATAGAAGATGATATTCTAAAATCTCTATCAGAAGGAGCTAATGATATTAATGAAGTATTAATGGATGAGACACTTATTAATAAATTACAAAACAGTAAGAAATTTGCAGCAGAAATTAATTAAAGAGTTGCTGATTCTAAAATAACAGAAGAATAAATAGATCAAGCAAGAGAAGGTTATAGACCTGTAGCTTTTAGAGCATCTTAATTATTCTTTTGTATAGTAGATTTATCAGGTATTGATCCAATGTATCAATATTCTTTGTAATGGTTTATGAATTTATTTTCTATGGGAGTAGAGAATGCCCCAGCAGCTAAAGAACATGAGGTTAGATTGACAAATTTAAATGATTATTTCACTTTCAGTTTGTATGAGAATGTATGTAGATCACTTTTTGAAAAACATAAATTACTTTTCTCTTTAATGTTAACAATAAAGATTCTCTAAGGTTATAAGTAATTGAATGAAGAAGAATGGAGATACTTATTGACAGGACCGATGGGAGATATAAAAATAAAACATAATCCAACTAAATGGATAGCTGAAAATACATGGCCAGACATGTATAGATAAATTTATGGAATGTCATAATTACCAGCATTCAAAGGATTTGAAGATTTTTGGATAAGTAACACAGAATTATTTAAGCCTCATTATGATTCAACTGAACCTCAATTAATGTAATTACCAGGAGAATGGAATAGTAAATTAGACGAATTCTAGAAATTAATTTTCATTAAATCTTTCCGTCCTGATAAAGTTATTCCATGTGTGTAGAATTTTATATCTCATAAAATTGGTAAGTAATTTATAGTTCCACCTCTTTTCGATTTAGCAAAATGTTATAAAGATTCAACAATGTAAACTCCTTTGATATTTGTATTATCTCCTGGATCAGATCCTGTGGCAGACTTTTTAAAGTTTGCAGAAGAGAAAGAGATGCTTAAAAGATATGAATAAATTTCATTAGGTTAAGGATAAGGTCCAAAAGCAGAAAAAATGATTAGAGCTGCTAGATAAAAAGGAGGATGGGTTCTTTTATAAAATTGTCACTTAGCAGCATCATGGATGAATGATTTGGAACGTATTTGTGAAGATATAGATGAAAGTGCAAGTAAAGATTATAGATTATGGTTAACAAGTATGCCAACAAATTCTTTTCCAATATCAGTTTTATAAAATGGTGTAAAGATGACTTTAGAACCACCTTCTGGATTGAGAAGCAATTTATTAAGATCTTATGCTCGTTTAGATGATAATGAATTATAAAGTGGATGCAAAAAACCTGAAATATTTAAGAAATTAATATTTGGATTTTGTTTCTTCCATGCAATCATATAAGATAGACGTAAATTTGGTCCAATTGGTTGGAATATTGCATATGAATTCACTAATGAAGATTTGAATGTTTGTAAGAGATAATTAATTATGTTATTGGATGAGTATGATGAAGTTCCATACAAAGTCTTAAATTATTTGGGTAGTGAAATCAATTATGGTGGTAGAGTCACTGATGATAAAGATGTTAGATTAATTAAAACTATATTAAGAACTTACATTAAAAAGGAAGCATTAAATGATCATTTCTCATTCTCTAAAAGTGGTACTTACAATTCTCCTCCGTCTGGATTATAAGCTGATTACATGAATTATATAGAAAGTCTTCCATTAAATCCAGCACCTGAAGTATTTGGATTACATGAAAATGCTGATATTACAAATGCTCAAAATCAAACTATTATGCTTCTTGAAACTATTCTTTCAGTCTAGCCAAGAACTAGTTCATCTGCAGGAAAAACTAGGGAAGAATAAATTGAAGACTTAGCTAACTTTGTATAAGGAAAAACACCTCCAGTTTTTGATTATGATGGTATATTCATCAAATATCCTACTGATTATCAAGAAAGTATGAATACTGTGTTGGTTTAAGAAGTCTTAAGATATAATAGATTATTAGAAGTTATGATTGATTCATTAGTTAATGTGAAAAAGGCATTAAAAGGATTGGTTGTAATGTCTGAAGATTTAGAAAAATTGTCTAATTCTCTTTATGATAATTAAGTTCCTAAGATGTGGGCAGAAAAGGGATTCCTATCATTAAAACCGTTAGCATCATGGACTTAAGATCTTAATGATAGAGTAGCATTTTTATAAAAATGGATTGATGGAGGCACTCCAGCATCATTCTGGTTCTCAGGATTCTTTTTCCCTTAAGCATTCATTGCAGGTATTACTCAAAATTATGCTCGTAAACATGTTATTGCTGTTGATCTTGTTTCATTTGAATTTTAAGTAAGAGATGATTTAGAAATTTCTAAAATTGTAGACAAACCTAGTGATGGTTGCTATGTATATGGATGTTATTTAGAAGGATGTAAATGGGATTCACAAAAGCATGTACTGTCTGAATCTACTCCAAAAGAATTATTTAGTGATTTACCAGCTGTGTAATTGATACCCAAAAAAAATAGAGTAATTCCTAAGACTGGAATTTATAATTGTCCTTTGTAATATTTAAATTTTAATAGTTAGGTATAAAGTTGTATCAAGAGCAGGAACTCTTTCGACAACAGGACACTCTACAAACTTTGTAATGTGGTTAGAATTCGCTTCAGATCAAGAAGAGGATATTTGGATTAAAGCAGGAGTGGCAGCATTTCTAGCCCTCAGATATTGATAATCTAAAATATAAAATATATCAAAATCATTTAAATAATTCCCTTATTTCACATGTCTTTTTGAATAATCCAATCATTGGAATCAATAACATATTAGCATAGGTAGCTTCAATTTATTCATCAGGACCACATATGAAACAATAACCCATATAACCTTTCTTACATGATCGACAATACGAATGTGCACATGGAATCACAGTTACTGGTTCTTTTAATTCCTAATGACACAACTTACAAATAATATAATTCTTCATATCTAACTATCATTTATAATGATTTGATTACGCAAATGCTATCGAATTCTTTAAGAGCTAGTTATTGCATTTTTATGGGTTTACTTTCTAAGGTTCTTTTCTACTCTAATTACTCATTTAACTTTCTTAATTGTAACTGTAGATACACAATGTGGTTATTTTAATCTTGTAATCTTAAATCTCAATTAGTTTGAACCTCTAATCAAATGTTTTCGACTGCAAATGTAAACTATTATCTTAGGATCTCAAATGTCGGTTGTTAATTTTTAAATCATCGATTTAAATTGTCATTTAATTGATCTATACTTGTAAAGCTTTGTTTGATTCTTATAATTTTTGAACTTGTTCTTATAAGGATTCGTTCAGTAATGATAATTCTTTATTAATTTCTTAAAGAGATGCATTGGCTATTCTTAACTCTTCAAAAACGAATTATCGATCAAAATTCATGGGTGATTTATTTTGATGTAAGCTTTTTCTAAAAGGTGCCTAAGCAGTTTTACGACGAGGCATCATAGTAAATAATGGTTTAGGTTCTACTTATAGTGGAGATTAAGGATACTATTATCTAGTTATACCTTCATATCTCAAATATGCCTTCATAATAAATATATTAATTTAATGAATAGCATTGATAGTTATTAGAGTAAAGCTACAATTAATGCATAATCAATTATTTCTAAGATAGCCACTCGAAATGGATAAGCTGAGTAAGTTCAATAAAATCTAAATTAGCAACGGCTCTTTGATTGCAGCTTTAGATGAAGAAACTGTTTCAGCTGCTTGGAATGCATTTGGTACTTTATTACTTATTATTATTTAGGTCTTCATATTTCAAGATAATTGCGTATGGGTAGAGGAGTGGCAGTCAATAAGTTTGGAACTTTTTCATTTAGTGCTCCTGATGTAATTTTAGATGGAGTAACAAATCCAATAGAAAGAGATAAATAACCTCGTTAACCAGTTTTCCTTGTTGCTAAAGTATTTTTATTTTTAATACTTCAAGGAATTCGTTAATGGTTTTAATCTCAAAACTGCCATAGCCATAGGTCGATAATTAAGACCATATAGAGTTCAAACATCTGGCAAAATTTAACATTCAATTGTCAATTGGGCAGAAATTGCTCTCTATGCCTCATAGAATAAAGACTCTGCTAAGATGGCTGTTGAAAGAGTGTTAAAATCATTATCTGATATTGTGCGCAACGTATTTTGGCAATCAATTAAATCTAGAGAGATATTGTTGAAGTTGAGATACCATGTGTTGGTACTTTCTTTGTCAAATCACATTCTGCCGCTGTTTAATTCCTTGATTCTTTAATGGATAGTTGTAAAGTAGCTAATATCTCCTATCATTTAAGGAAATTACAAAAAGACCACTATCTGAACGGAAATCTAAAGGAGATATGAGACTTACTCAATAATATTTACAATAATTAACTAAAAGTACTCATCCAGAAGAAAATAATTTTACTATTGATGATAGCGCAAAAAATTATCTCACTAATTCATTAGGTATAGAACTTCCAGAAACTAGACCTAAAACTGCTAAACATTCGTTATATTCAACCAAAAAAGGACCTCTAATGAGTAAAACTGTAATTGTTAAATTTATTATTTTATCAGATGGAAGTTAGACCCAATACATAACAAATTTCTAGAATAGGATTCTCTAAAACTGTTAATGATAAAGTTTATGCTCTTGAAAGATTGAAATATTATATAAGAGATCATGCCTTAAATATTGAAGATGTATTTTTAATAAATTATTCATAGTCTTTTTTGGATTTATGTTAATAAGCTTTTGGAAAAACGAGTGAAAGAAAAGTTAGAATGAATTATGATGATTTTAAAAGAGCTATTTTATAGATACAATTACCTCTAAATGATATTCAAATAATTACATTATTTTAAACACTTGATGTAAATAATGATGGATTTATAGATAAATTTGATTGGCTCAAAGCTGTTGTAGATAAAAGTATATATTAAATATTAATTGATAAGAATCACATGTAAATTATATTAAAGATGTTATCTTTAAATTCTAAATTCATACAGATGATTTATTACAAAGGATGAATTTAAATAGGGATCATTCTCCTATAAATCTTTAACAATTAAAATTTGCTTTAATGCATTTAGATGAATCATTAAATTAACATAAAGCATTGAAAGTAGCAAAAGAAATTTTAGATGGAAAAGAAACGATTAGTATGAATGATATTTTAATATTGTTTAATACTATTGAAGAAGAGAATAAATTATATGATCTCTCATGGTTTAAAGATACTCTTCATAAAATGAGAGATCATCTAATTAATCCTCAAAAATTAAAAGTTTTCAGATAATCTTTTGAATATTTTGATGAACATTAAGAAGGTAATTTAGATACAGCTAATTTTAAAACTGTTTTAATGGAAAGTTAATTGGGATTAAATGTTTAAGATATTAATAGATTAGTTCGTTATCTTCCTAAAAATAGAGAATCTTTAATAAATTATTATGATTTTATTTCAATGATAATGGATGTTAACAAATAAATGGATTAAAAAGATACAGCAAAAGATCTTGTTGATTTTACCTAAAAGATTAGTAAGTATTTAACTTAGAAGAAATACACAGTTATTCAATTTTTATAATAAGTAAAATCTGGATATGGTTCGTGCAATATTGAATCAACTTCTCAATATCTTGAAAAATATCTTTTTACATAATTACCTCATGAAGAATGTTTAGAATATTGTAGAGAAATGGATGTTGATGGTAATGGAGTTGTAAGTGATGATGATATGAATATATTCATTAAAAGATACTCTTACTTTAATATAAAGAAAGATTAATCTTAAATTGATTAAATAGCTGAAAGTTTAAAACTAAAACCTTAGTATGGTGATACATTTTCATCTATTGAAAAATCATTTGTTCAATCAAAATCTATAGATTTAGTAACTTTGGGTTAAAAAAGAATGTTTTAATCTTTAGTTGATGGAATGAATTAATCAAAAAATCTTTTCCCAATAGAAGAATTGCCAGAATCTAAATTTGATTAAATACTAAAAGATTTACGTGTAAAATTAACAAGGAAAGGAATGTCATATGAAGAACTTTTTACATTTTTAGATACTGATCATAATGGATTCTTATCAATTAGTGAATTTTATAATATAGATAAAATAATGACATTGAGTTAACCTGCTAAAGATGGTTTCTTTGCCTTTATGGATAAATAAAGAATTGGTTTGATAGATTTAAATACTTTTGTTAAATTTTTAAGTAAATCAATAATTTAATAAATGCCTTAACTTTCTGAAGATGATTGGGATTGGGAATTAGAAATTTTATTTAAAATAAGAAATTGGTGTCAAAGAGAAAACATTACTATAGAGGATGCATTTAGAACTTTTGATAAAGATTTTGATGGATAAATTAATAAAACAGATTTAAGAACATTTTTGAAAGATATTTTGAAAATAGAAGAGAAAGAGTAATCAGAGGCAAAAATTAATAGATTATTTAAATTAATGGATTAATATAAGAGAGGAAAGATAACATTAATGGATTTTAGAAGATTTGTAGAAGAAGGATTTTTTTATGGTAAAAATAAATAAATATTTGGATAAAATACAAATTAAGCTGCAAAATAATAATAAGAATCTAGATCATCATTTGATTGGAAAATGAATGCTAGATAATAGATAGGATTAATAATAAGTAGACATTATCCAAATGTGAAAGATTCATTTGATATAGTTTCAGGATATCGTAAAAAATTAGTATTTTAAAAATTTAAGAAATGGATAGATGAAAAAAATGTTTTAGCAGGATTTGATTTGACAGAGAAATTAGTATATGAGATATTTTCAGATTTAGATTCCCATAAAAAAGGATATTTGGTAGAATCAGATTGGTTGAATGCATTTGCTTAATATAATTGGTAAGATTAAATGGTGAAAGAGATTTAAGATGCATTGGCTACTTATTTTTCAAGTATTTAAAATGCAATTCATTATTTTTAAATGGAACATAGTCATATAATTACTAAAGAGAGTTTTTATAAGGCTTTATAAGCATTATTTCCAAAAAGATTTGTTGAAGGAGATATAGAAATTTTATGGAATAGAGTTCAAAAGAATGGATCATTAAGTAATCAAGCATTTGCACTTATTTTTGGAAAAGGAGGCAAGATTTATGAATAAGCAGAAGGATTATCATAACAATTAGCTATTCGTCCTGCAACTTAAGGGTATTTATTGATTTATATATGATAGTGGATTGTCAACATTACCTTTAGATGAAAGAAATTAAGTTAATATTAGTTTATTAGACAAAATTAGAAGATATTTAAGAAATTCAAATAAAAATATTAATGAATTATTTAAATAGTATGATTTAGATAATACTGGATTTATTACAAATTTAGAATTCAGACAAGTAATTAGAAATTTGAATATGGGATTAACATTTTAAGATATTGATATATTATCTGCTATGCTTGATACTGATAGAAATAGCATGGTTAATTGGAAAGATTTTTCAAAGAAATTAGATTTTAGATAAGCTGATAATAAAATTCTTGAAAGAGCAGGAATACATTTGTAAAAAGTTAATGATCATATTTATCATTATTTATTATCACCTAAAGATGCTTTTAGATAAATAGATGCACAACACACTGGATTTTTAACATTTGATAAATTTAAAGATATGATTGAAATGTTATATAGATTAGCTACTGAAGATATTCCTCCATTTGCAATTATTAAAGATCTATTTGAATTTATAGATAAAAGAAGGGATGGTCATCTAGATTTAACTGAATGGATGGATGCTTTTTCTAAATTTAGTAATCCTAATGAAAAGAAAAGGTTTTTATATATAATTAAATTTTAGGCCTTTGAGTGCTAATATTCGAGTTAAGAAAACATCTTAAAAATCATTAATGGCATAAACTGATAAAAATTGGTTATCTAAATAAAGTTTATCTTCACAATAATAATTTGAAGGTTTAACTGATGATGGTTTAATAAATGCTTAAAATAAATTTAAAACTTTTCTCAGAAAACCACCAACAAAATAAACTGCTCTTTTATATGTAGGTAATTTGTATTATTAAATTTAGAAAATGGAATATGGGAAAGTTCTAAAGAATTTGATAAAACTATAAATGCTATTGGTAAAAACAGAAGATATCTTTTGGAAATCTTTAAACATTTAACATAAAATGGATAAATTCCATTAACAGAAGATGTAAATATATTTACTAAATAATTTAAATAGCTTATTAAATAAGAAATGGATAAAATGTTAAGATCTTAAGGAATTGTTGTAAGAGATGAATAATGGCCATAACTTATCTCTTGGTCTAAAAAGAATGGCCGTATTGATTATAAATTTTTGCTTGAAGTTTATAAAGATCGTCTAAATGGAATGGATACCTAACCTAGAATGGGGGATGATGAATGAATATTTATTTGATCATCAAAACCATGTTATAATATTAATTAAATCAAAATTTTAAAAAAAGGCCTCACCAGCTTTTTAAAAACAAAAGAACTTCCCAAAATTGAAAAAGTATGTCAAAAATATAAAGTTATCTAGTGAGCAGTAACAAAATCCGAGTTTTAAAAAAGTCTTAGACATCAAACAGCTCTAAGTGTCTCTTTGTTCCAAAAAATTAGGAACGACAATCATACTATATAACTCCACCTTCGAAATATAAGGTAATTCTATTCTTAATCATTTTAGAATCCACTTACAAACATTGAAGAATTAAATATAGATTCTAACTGTTCGACTGATAGCAGTCAACGTTTAGAAAATTTAAGTCCTGTTTACTACTGCCCAAAAGGAAAAGAACCATGTGGTGAGTTATAGGTTGTCCTAAATGGTGACCTGATATAAGTGATCTCTTAGACTAAAAACAGAAAGAAATCACGAAAATTCAGTGATCAAGAGACCTATGCAATGAGTAATTTCATTGCTGGTCCAAAATCTTAGGACATCCCTTGCCCTTAGTTCCTTTGATGATATATTAATTATCTATTATTTCAAAACATCATATTCAAAACTTTTAAAAAATTGTTAACCTTATTTTTATAATTCTAATTATTATATATTTTATATCAAGATACTTTTTCATTATAATCTCATTTTTAAAAGTATATTTAATTTAAAACTGTCTCAAAAACCAAATTTTTATTTTATAACTATTAAGACTTTATGAATTTATTTAAAAGTTAGTACTTTTTTATATCATCTTAAATTCAAATTATACATTAAATAATTTAAATATATCTATTCAGATTATGAGATAGATATATTTAATTATGAAATGAATTTTGTTAATTCGATATTATCTTATAATATTACACATATATATATATTGATTTATTATATATAATTATATCTTAGTCATCTTCTGCCTTCTAATAATTTGCCTAACTCATCTTTAAGAGAGTTATTATAAGCTCTAATTTTCTCTATTTCATTTTTATGGTTTTCACCTTCCTATTTGTTATGACATAGAAAATAATTACTTTTTATAATTTTTCAGTTTCAACTTTTTTTGTATATTGAATTTTTTATTCCAAATCTTCAACAGCTTTTTATAACTCTTAACATTCTCTTTCCATAAACATAATTTTATTAGATTTATCTGTCCTTTTTTATTCAGCATCAATCATTTTTCTCATACCATATGCAATTGAACTTTC